TCATTTTAGAAATTACAGTTCTTAAGATTGATAAGTATGAACATTTGGTCTATGTAAATTGGTTGAATTATAATAGGAAGTATGTTTTTTCATGATAAAAATAAGCCTAAAGACATTATACTGGCACCTCATTATTCAATACCCATCTTACCTTCACACCTTTAAAATGGGGCTCTCGAAGGTTTCAGTCATCATATCAAGGCTGTGAAACATCCTCATTCATACTATCATCTGGCAAATGAATGAGTAGCTTCTGATACTTATCACAGAGGCTGCAATGTATTAGGCTTGCATCTTTTTTCTGATTCATTCTTCCCTTGACAGTACTTCAAAAGTAAAATCCAGGTATGTATGTAGATTTTCCAACACTTTGAAAGAGAGTCTCTCTAAAATCGTCATCTGCTTTGTGAAGGAGTCTCTGAATAGCAGAAATGGAGCAAGTAACATGTGTTGAGGTATAGATTTGGGCAGGTTTCCTTGGGCAGGGTGTCACCTCAAGCTCCAGTGTCCGGTGGTATCCTCTGTAACACATCTCACCACCAGGCAAAACTCTCTCAGCCTGTCTCCAGAGCAGAGTTGCTCCAGCCCTTTGATCATCATCGTGGCCCTGCTCTGGACTTGCTCCAACAGCTCCATGTCCTTCCTGTTGTGGCAATTGAATGACTTGGAGTGTAGCAACAGTGTTTTACAATTGAAACTCGTTTGTTTGGGTTTTTTTCTTAAATAGAAACAAATAATAAAGCTCTATCCTTTTCTGTCAGCACCAAATTCACTATTTTGTACACTTCACAGCTGGTTGCTGTCATACATTTGACACAAGACAGTTTGATTTTTGCATTCTTAACTTGAAGCAGTAATGAACTCTGATCAGCAGCTGGAAACTACAGAGGAATACACAGTTTTTTTCCCCTTGAAGTTCACTTCCTAGCCCTCAGTCCTACAGCTAACATACACTTGTCTGGTTTATGTCGCAAAAATATAGGCTGACTGCTTATCAGGTCAGTGCTGCTGTTTAATAAACAGTACTTATCTCCTTGAAGCAACACCCTGCCCTAAATAAGTTTGCTGAGGGTGCTGAGCCAGAAATAGTGTGCTTTTATTTTTAATTGGATTGTAAAAAAAACCCCATCAAAATACAAATTTGAAAAAAATATGTTTAAAATTAAAATACAGGTTGGTCGTAGCTCTGCTTTTTGAGCTGCATGTTCTGTAGTTTGTTTTATGTATTTCTCTGTCAAACATACAGGTTTTAGAACCCTGCAATCACATCTCTCCCCAGGAGTCTGTGCTTCTCCCAGTGTTTCATGTTATTCTCAAAACCCCATAAATAACCTCACTTCTGTTTACTGTTTGTCACTCAAACTCCAGTGGAGGAATGTGATTCTGATGTTGAGCAACACGTGATTCAGTTGATCCCTGAACGCTTTAGATGGAGCTTCATTACATACCTGTGACAGGTAGTAAACAATCCCATTTTAATTCATTGGGAGGAGGATGCATTATTTAACTACAAAATTACTGAATTTTGCAGCATATATGACTTGCGAGTGGGTTCACCCCTCCATGATGCTACTCTTTCTGCTTCCTTGTAAGTTTGAGGTTTTATTTCATATTTCTGAACACTAATCGTGACATACCCAATCTGGCACAGGAGAAGGCTGAGCAGGGGAATTGGGGTGTGGTTAGAAAGCATAAAAATAGACAGGAAAGAGAAGGGAAAACCTTGATATTAATGAGTAACAGTTGACCAGGTAATAGTGGTAAGGCAATAGGTAATGCAGCTGTAATAAAGATTGTGGATAGCAAGAAATGGAAATGTTCAAACCCAGATGCTAGGAAGTTGGGCAGAAGGTGGGAATATTTTTTGAGTGGCTGGTGCTGTGGGAACCATATAGAGCAAACCAAAAGAAATGGTAGCATAAAGTTAATTACTAGGATGTGGTTTTCAAATGGGAATGATCTGTTACAAAAGGTGTAAATGAAAGCAAGTGCTTTAATGCAGTGATGATCTGTAAAGCATTAAGCAACAGAGTGGCTGAAATCATAGGTGGAGGCAGATTTCTTTGGGAGAAGACAGTAAGCAAGATTCTGATGAAATAGTGGTAGATGCTTGCTGAGGCTCCTCCTGATCTGTTTAGGTAGTGGATAATAGAAACCTTGGTCACATTGCAAGTATAATATATATGTGGGAGTATTTTTTATGTTACTTTGCAGCTGTAGTGATAAAGCAATGAACAACTTTGCTAATTGTCATATCTAGAATCACAGAATCATAGAATGTTCAGGATGGGAAGGGACCTTTGGAGATCATCTAGTTCTGACCCCCTGCCAGAGTTGATCACACAGGAACATGTCCAGGAGGGTTTTGAATGTCTCCAGGGATGGCGACTCCACATCCTCCCTAGGTGGCTTCTTTCAGTGCTCTGTTACCCTCAGAGTAAAGAAGTATTTTCTTATGTTTAGGTTAAACCTCCTGTGAACCAGTTTGTGACCATTGTCCCTTGCTCTGTCACTGAGAAGGGTCTGGGCCCATCCTCCTGACACACCCTGTAGATATTTATAAGCATTGATGAGAGCCCCCTTCAGCCTCCTTTTCTCCAGCCTGAACAGCCCCAGCTCTCTCAGCCTTTCCTCCTATGGACAATGCTACAGTCCCTTCATCATCTCAGTGTCCTTGTGCTGTACCCTCTCCAGTAGCTCCTTGTCCTTGAACTGGGGAGCTCAGAGCTGCACACAGTGCACCAGGTGAGGCCTCACCAGGGCAGAGTAGAAGGGGCAGGAGAACGTCCCTTGACCTGCTGGCCCCATTCTTCTTAATGCACCCCAGGATGGCACTGGTTTTCTTGGCCACGAGGGCACATTTTTGGCTCATGATGAGTGTTCTTTCCCACCAGGACCCCGAGGTAGGGTTCTTTCTAATTAGTGACACAGAAACTCTCTGAATTTTTCACAGCAAGCAAGGGGATCTGGTGGCTGCAGAGGCCACCTGAGTGTGTTAATCACCTTCAGAAAAAAATTTAAATAAGAGGTTCTGTAGGTGTACTGTGTCCAATTCCGGAGCCCCCAGCATAAGAAGGACATGGAACTCGTGGAGCAAGTCCAGAGAAGGGCCATGAAAATGATCAGAGGGCTGGAGCATCTCTCCTACAAGGACAGGCTGAGGGCGCTGGGGTTGTGGTGGTTTTGGTTTCATTAACCTGACATTTCCAATTGAGTGGCAAACGCATTAGTGTGGTTGTGCTGCACCCCCGGATGGGACCTCGTGTAGAATAATACTTATTCAGGAAAGGTTGAGCTGAAAATGCTTTAGCTTGAAAATTGGCTGGTGGGATGAGATGAGGAGGGGCCAGTAGAAGTAGTGTGGCCTTTCTAGAATTAAATTCAGACCATTTTGTTTAAATCTAAAAATACTGCAGTAAGGATTACTTAATCTGAAGGTCACAGAGTATGACCTGACAATAAATAAAACTAAGGCTTCTGCACAGAATCACCTTGGTTGCAAAAGACCTTAAAGATCACAGAGGCCAACCATCAACCAAACGCTGACAATTCCTTCACTAAACCATATTCCTGAGTGCTACATCCATACAACTCTTAAATCCCTCCAAGGATGGTGACTCCACCACTGCCCTGAGCAGCCTGTTCCAAAGCCTTATAACCCTTTCAGGGGAGAAATTCTTCCGAACATCCATTCTAAACCTTCCTTGGTGCAACTTGAGGCCATTGCCTCTTGTCCTGTCACTTGTAACTTCATTGAGCAGCCCAATCCCCACCTCTGTCCCCACCCTTAATCCCCCAACCTCCTTTCAGGTAGTTGTAGAGAGCAAGAAGGTCTCCCCTGAGCCTCCTTTTCTCCAGGCTGAACACCCCCAGCTCCTCAGCTGCTCCTTGTAAGATGTTCTCCAAACCCTTCATGAGCTTTGTTGCCCATCAGAGCATCACAATTCTTGGAACAGCTTTCCAGCAGGGAAAGTGACAGTGGGAAAGTGGTGACTGATCTGTTACAGAAGGGATGTGTGGTGTTTCTGGTGCTAGCAGAGGACTGAATTTGATAATCCTGGGAAACCACACCTGGATTCTTATGTAAGTGGCAAGAAGTCACCTGGGTAATTTCACATGTGAAGATTCTGTTGCAAGTTCTTATTGCTCTAGACCCCAGAAAACCTGAGTACTGATGCTACAGGAGTCTTGAATACCAAAGTTGGTACCTTACCATTCCTCTGTGGACTTTTAATGGAATTCCCTAGATTGAAACAACCACAAGCAGCTATTGTGCTTCTGCTTCACCTTGTCTGACCTGTGGTGTTTGAGCTTACGATTGCAGTGCAGCAGCAGTAGACTCAGTTCTTTTGTGTTTCAAGGAAGCAGAGGGATATAGTTTAGTTCTCCTACATAGTGTTTGCCAGAGAGCTGCAATGTGTAGGATGGCTCCTGTGCTGTGTTCCAGCCACTCTTTGGCAAGCTGTGTGGTGTGGTCATTAGGGCAACAATATCTATAGCTGAAATGCATGCATTGTATTTGCTGTAGATGCATGCAACTCATCCAGATGTGGTCACAAAGGTGGTTTAAGTGGTAGAAACTTCATTTTATAGGTGTTTGCTCAAATAAGTGTGGTCAAGTGATTTGCTTTGGCATCTGTTTTGAAACTGAGGTTCTTCCCTGCAATGAAGATCTGGTTCTCACTTTCCCTCAGTGCCTGCTTGGCCTCTCAAATTCCTATCCAGCTGACCTGTATTACAGTAAAATGCAACTGATTTTAAGATTTTCTTCAGTTATCAGAGCAAGAAACTACAGCAAATGGTGAAAAAGCATGGGACAAAGAGAGTCAGAATTCATGGACTCGTGGTAGTAGGGTTTTTTTCAAATTCCGGATTGCTTTAAAAAAGTTATCAGTGTAAATGTGTTGTGCTTCATTGGTCAAACAGCCTGTAAATTTGTTTAAATGTCAGTCATATCTAGCAGACAGCTAATTTGTGCTTTCTCTTTTCTTCAGTGCTTGCACCTCCTCCACCATTGCCACCACCAATACAGGGATATGCCTTTAAACCCCCTCCTCGACCAGATTTTGGCACTTCTGGGAGAACAATCAAACTGCAGGCCAACTTCTTTGAAATGGACATTCCTAAAATAGATATCTACCATTACGAATTGGATATAAAGCCAGAAAAATGCCCTAGAAGAGTTAACAGGTAATGCTCTGCTTCGCTTTTCCTCAGTTTATTTACATTTCTCTTTTCCCTTGAAAATTTTGGAGCCATGTGCCAGTCTTCAGTGACGACTCAGAGGATGTGTCTGTTTCTAGGGATGGTTTGTACTGGTGGCTTCCAACTTTGCATATCCATCAACAGGCATTATTTTTTTCTCCATCCAAGTCTTTCTGTACCAATCAAAAATTTCAGTGCTAATCGTCCCTTATTTTGATTGAACTTGTCAGCATCTTAAGATGCTGCTGATCAAAGGCACTGGTGACTGTGGAAAAACTGTATTAACCCTAGTAGAGTTAGGTTGGTATAATCCAACTTGATAAATATGATTCTTAGTATTTCTTGATTAATATTGGAGTGCAGTTGGCTGACAAGTCCCATCAGCAGGTGGTGGTGTTACCAACTTGTTTTCCCACCTTCCCCTGCTGAGAAGGGGAGGCAAAACCCAGTGTTTTATGCTGCTGCAAGAGGGTTGTGAAGGGACTAAATTAGGTAAGAAATTATCCTTCATCAGTAGATTCTATATAAGGGAAAGATATGCTCCTGAAACAGATAGCGAGGTGAAAACATGCATCAGTTGGCCAAGGCAACAAGCAATTACGTCTTGCATTTTGCATGTGTGTCCTATTAGTCACAGCATGGCAACCTCATTGACTTGGAAGAGAGAAGTGTTGCCAGAAGTGAAACTTGAGAACAAAACCTGGCACTAACTAGAAACCACAAATGTCTTCATTATAACTACCTACATCTTGACAGTAGAGGTTCGGAATGGCATGTTTATATATTCAAGAGCAAAACCTTTCCTTGTTAAAAACGGTCCCATGGGTGGAATGTGCAGTCATGAGCAAAGCATGGAGTCAAAAAAGCCACCTGAAAGCAAAAGTTTTCTTAAAGATGCATTAATAAAGCAGAGTGCATTATGCATTGTTAGATTAACAAGGCAGTAATGATAACATTTTCATAAAACAACATCACTGCACTTTGTTGTCCTGTTGTTTTTTTTTCTTGTGCTGGTCTACTGGAAATGTAATTTTTAAGCTAGATGCTGGGCCATCTCATCTAAACTGTGTTCCTACCTAGAAAGGTTGGACCAGATGATCCTTGAGGTCCCATCCAACCTGGCATTCTATAATTCTAATAAAGAAGTGAACTCAATTTTAAAAGCAAATACTGATGTCAGTGTATTAAGCTGAACTCTATCCTTGCCCAAGGGCAACCCTCCTGGTTTCTCTGCAGTCCTTGTACTGCCTTGCAGAGCTGAGAAGAATTGTCATCAGTCACTTTTTCCAGAGCTGTGGGAGCTTTGTTTTCATTAACTGGTATCCTTGCCACTAACTCCAGCCATGACAGCTGGCATGTTGCTGACTGGTGCAGGTCGCTGGGCCTCTGCAGCTCCTCTGGGAGCTGATGCTGCACAGCTCTTACCTGTGTTGTGGTGCTGTGATCACCCCTGTTATAGCCCAGCCTGTGGGTGCTTGTTCATCAATGGCAGAGAGCATGGTTATTTATTTATTTTTTCTCACTGAAAAGGCAGGTTATATTCAGTAGCCAGTTCTTTGTCCACTGGCAGCTTCTGACTTGCTGTTTTGTCAGATTAGTCACTCTCTCTGTTGTGGTAACAAGAGCAAGTGAAAATCCACATGGATTAAATGCCTTTTGCAGTAAATAAGGATGTCATAAATGTGTTTGACAGTGCTAGTGTATGTCTCTTAGTGCAGTGTGGGAAGAATAGAGATTTTATTAATTTAATGAAGTTATTTTATTTCGTTTTGAGTGGTTATTCCTGCTTAGATTCCCCTGTAGATGTACATGCACTCACCTGCACCTGGGCTTTTATGAACCATGACCTTTCAGTCCTACATCTGCCCCTGTATCTGTACACGTGTGTGCAAATACCTGCATTGCTGTGTGGGTGTGTGTGTATGTATCTAGAGTTATGCAGGGTGCACATGTTGTCCAATTCTAAATGATAGGTTTTTTTCAGCTGGCTTACAAGTTTCTAGTATTTAGATTACGTAATTCAGATACATATTCATAGTAAATAGTTTCTATCATTACTTTATGTATTGTAGCCTCTAGAAAGGATAGAGGGAGATTTTATTATTATTTAATTCAGGCTACTCCCTCATCTGTCCCAGCTTTGTTCTTCAGTTTTATTCTGAGTCTTCCTGTGGCTTGGACTGGGACCCTGCCGACCCACTGCAGGGATGTGTTCCATGTACAGACAGGTTCCACACTGATGAGATGTGAACTGGAGCAGGACTGGAAAACAGACAGATGACAACGTGCTGCTGTGCCAATTAATTACAGTCTGGCTACAATTCTTCATGTGCCACAGAAATCCCAGAATTTCCCCTCTGGGGAGACCTCATAGCAGCTTTCCAGTACACGAAGGGGGCCTGCAGGAAAGCTGGGAGGGACTGTTTACAAGGGCTTTCTTCTAGTGATAGGATGAGGGCAATGGCCTTGAACCTAGAGCAGGGGAGATTTAGATTAGACATTAGGAAGAAGTTCTTTACTGTGAGGGTGGTGAAGCACTGGAACAGGTTGCCCAGGGAGGTGGAGGAGGCCCCATCCCTGGAGACATTCGAGGTCAGGCTTGACCAGGCTCTGAGCAACCTGATCTAGTTAAAAAGGTCCATGTGCACTGCAGGGGGGGGGCTGGACTGGGTGACCTCCAAAGGTCCCTTCCAACCCCACACATTCTATGATTCTATCATAGGAAGAGTGAGCAATGGGAGTTTGGTTATGAACCCTGGATGCCCTCAGGTTAATCCATGAGGACAACCACGACTTGTACAAGGTTCAAGGTGAGCTCTGCTTGCTGTCACTGACCCTGAGTTCTTGGTGTGCAAGTTGATTTCTGTAGAATGGTAGTCCCAAAGGGCTGGAGTTAGTGAATTGGTAAATAAGTCTTCTTTTAATGTCACATGGAGAAAATAACTTACTTTTCATTAAGATGTTTCCAGTCACAGCTGAGAAGCACCATTGTGCTTTGAAGCTTGAAAACCTTAATTAAGCGGAAGTGTTCGTTTCTATATAAAGCAGTTCACAGTCAGAAGAACTTGCTCAGTAGGAGAATGGGTTTTCCATTGCTCAGTCTTTAACACAAGGTTGAAAAATACTTTCTTCCTCCCACCCTCCAAATTATGTACTTGTTCAGTCAGACATTGCAGACCTGAAGCAGAAATTACTGGGTCAAGTTTTATTCCTACTTTTCAGGAGGTCAGGCAGATTTTTTTCAAAGGTCACACCACGGCTGAAAGCCTTGTCACAAAACAAATAAATTGTCAATTAAACCAGTCTTTAGTCTTTCCTTGAATGAAGAAATCACATTTAAAAGTAATCATACTCAGAGTGATGCAAAAAGTGTGCATATCAGAACTGTTATCTTTACACTAAGGCTGTAAGCTTGGATGAGGATTTTTTTGAAAGCTTCTTAGTCTGCTGAGCTTTTAGGTTATGATCCTCTGCAGAAGGGGCAGGGTAGCAGAAGCCCCAGGAGAATACCAAGCATCTCTTGTTTTAAGCTTCAGAGAGCATGAGCTTTCGCTTTACCACTCTCAGCAGATCACAGAAAAGAGGAAGGGAAGTTTCAATGTGAAAAAGTTTAAAAAGCTGCTTTAAGAAAACAATTTAGTCTGTCAAAAGTTTGGTTTACTTCAGATCAGTTAAACAAATCTTGCCTTTAATACCCAATAGTGGGCAACCCTTTCATTTACCTACTGCCTCTATTCGTAACAATATTCATAAATACTAGTGTTCATTTGCTACTGAACATCAAAAGTAAAATGTTGAATTAACATAATCTCTTTGTATTTTCAGAGAAATAGTGGAGCATATGGTTCAGCACTTTAAAACCCAGATTTTTGGGGATCGCAAACCGGTGTTTGATGGAAGAAAAAACCTTTATACAGCTATGCCACTTCCCATTGGGAGAGATAAAGTAAGTTTTAAATAGAAAAGCTTGTGATTGGAGATTTTTTTGTCATGTTTGCAGATAGGAACGGGCTTTATATTTCTGGGTAGATATCTCCTGTTGCTGTTCTGCTTAGGGTGTGGTTTACCAAGAGTGGAGTGTGAGCTTGTTGCCATGAAAATGGTCACTCCTCTTTCCATTTCCCTTCTTTCCTTCCTCTCTTTCTTCCCACTTGTGTGGTCTCTTCTGCTTTGGTGAGCTGGATCAGCTGCCCAAAGCAGTGGACAAGTTGCACACTGGCACTAGGGAGAAAGTGAAAGCATAGTTGAGTTTGGAAGAGGGGGAGCAGAAGCACACCTCTGGGCAGCAGCAAGCTGTTGTGTCAGCTGGTTAATCTCATCAGAGCCCACTGTAAGCTGATTCTCACTGTCCCCTTCTCCCCCTTTCACCCTCTGTTTATGGTGTGGAACCTCTTCCCTAATTATTTACAATGAGGGAGCCAAATTAATTTAAACTGCACAGGTTAAGACCTGCTAGCTTACCCCTGGGGCAGCTGGAGAGGACTTGCATGTTCTGATTGTCATTTCTCCATGTGGGGTGGTGACCTTTTTGGACACTCCAGTTTTACCTGCAAAGAGTACCCGCATCTGTCTGTTGATCACTGATGAAGCAGAAGGGACTGTTAGAACGTGCTAACACACAGACCCTATTCAAATAATTCAGCCTGTGCCTCTGTGGGCTAGTATCAGATTGAATTTTCTGTGGCCTTTTTTATTTAGATGATTGGCACTAGGGATACATTCTCATCGCTCACTTATGTTGTGGCAATTCCCAGAGGCCATTAGAGCCTTCTGCTGTGGGTGTAAGGTGAGGCTTGCACACTTAGAGAGCAAGGCTGTCCAATCTCTTAGAATTTAATGAAAACCTAATGAGGGAAAAGTAAAATGTAAGAGGGAAAGGGAAATGTGGAAAACATGCTTACATGATGAAACTGGAAATGGAGCTTAGGTCTCCCTAACCTGAGTAGGTCATGCTGTCCTTGCTGTCTCATCCTGCCTGTGCAGTGCTTGACATACAGTTCTACCTCAACCAAACTCTTGATCTTGTATGTGTCATTTTTATTTCTCCCAAATGTATTGTAAGTAAATATCATGCAGTAAAGGTTAGTCTCTACTCCAGTCTTCATTATTTTTCATTAAGTGATAAGCTAGTGCCTAGAAAGACTGTGAAAGAGTAATTGAAAAGTATTAAAGTTGTTTGGTTTTCTTTTCCACTTTCACATTTAGTATTCCAGTTCCTACAGATTTGAGAGGCAAGATTACAAATGATATTTGAAGAGTATCTCCTAGGGGTTTAAGCAAGTCCTCTGCATGCAAACAGAGTTCTCTTGTAACTGTACTTTCCAAGTTAGGGATGACTGACGATGTATTTTATGAGAAGTATGAAGCTCTACATTTATAAGTAAAGTAAATGATAAATGGTTTATCTACAGAGGATAAACAAACTGGGATCAAATTAATCCTCAGATCTGTTGAGACTTTGAGACTCACTTTAACCCTACTCTGATTGGGAGCTTGATGAGATGATCTCTCTGTCCTGTTCCTCCTGTGTCTGAATGCCTGCTGACCAAATAGGACTTGATTCTTGATGCTTTGGATATTAAAACCCACATATGCTAAATCATACATGATAAAAGGGAGGTCTAGTGACAGTGTGTCAGCAG